CGATTTCTCAATCTTTTCCACAGCGAAGAAGACAGCGGCAGATTTCTGGAAAAGAAAGAAGATTGCAGACCAAAAATTACAAACATTCTTCGCAATTTCAATAATTTGATATTCTGAGATCTGCTTCAAAATAAGTTGCAACAATACAAATATAAATACACATAAAATTCATCCACTGACACGTATTTGGAAAAAATAAAATTCTCTACAGCATTACAGCACTTGAATTTACAAGCAACATAATGGCATAGTAAAACACAGATGAAGCAGTAACACTTCTCAAAGGCACAAAAACATATGATCAAGCTTTAAGCTCTTCGAACTATAAAAGAAAATCCCAGATTTCCATCTCTAGTATTAATTAGAAAGACAGAAAACTCCAAAATTAACAGCTAAGTGATTCAACTAAAATAGAAAGAAGTAACAAGGCCTAGAGTAACCAGAAGGTACTCGGCCACGCCTATAATTGTAAAACCAACCACAGAACCATGAAAGTGCTTGATGAGGAAAATTTCAATGAGAATAAGGGAAGGCACCATAATTTGGGGGCTAGTCTGAAGGGATACCAATTTTTCCAATAAATCTAATTGTGCGAGGAGCGGAGAGAGGAGAGGGAAGATTCAGAGGCCTTGAGGGAGGAGAGATGGTTGATGAGGTCCTGGTGGTGGGAGAGGAACTCGTGGCGGACCTGGTTGTCGAGAAGGTGTAGGCCTTCCTAGAGCTTTTCGATACTGGAGGCAGCGGAGCCGGCGGATAGAACAGCGGAGGAGATTTTGGCGGGATTGAAATCCGGGGAGAGGAAAGCAGAGAAAATTGGGTCGGTCCCTTGGATGGAGGCAAGGGATGGAGGCATGATCCAAGTGGATGGAGGCACCATGCCTCCATCCACTTGAACGGAGGCATGAAATGCGATGGAGGCACCATGCCTCCATACTCCAAAATAACACAGGCCTTCGCTTCCTATACTCTCTTTACCTCGATGTCAAAACATAAACTGTCCTCCTGATTACATCTTCTCTCTGCGCCATGCTTGTTCTGCTATTAATCCTCCACTTAGCATGGCCATAGCCATTTTTCTTTTGTATATCAAATGTTATACAAGCTCAATCAACAAATCAGACACCGTACTTCAATCATATTACAAATTTTAATAACAAAACTACATGATAAAATAATTTAACTGGGAATATAGTTGCTTAAAAAGAAAAGAAAAAATAAATACACGAATTACCGATCTGTTTAACGAAACAAAATGAACCTCAACAATCGAGAAAGTGCTTTCACTCGTTAATCAGATTCTGCCATTAAATTATCAAGGAGAAAGATGAAATGAGACGATTTTCAATGTGAAACAAGATCGATGGCCGATGAAAATTTATTGCAACTAAACCAAAATAAGAATTCCTCGATTTTGTCACATGAAATCTCACATACAGATTAATAATTTAATATTTAAACCCTCTATTTCTTCTTCTCTCTTTATGCAAGAGCCATAGATGATCGTCAAACTTCAAGATACTGCAAATTAAAGAATTAAATGTAACAGACCGAATCTATGAAAATAATAGAAGAACAGTTAACAATCAGAAATGATTTGAAAGTTAAAACAAAATAAAAGGACCAACCAAATATGGCAATATGTATACTTAAAACAGGTTCTTATTTTATTTTATAAATTCATATTTATTTTCATTCAGTAAGTAACCAGTCCATTCTCAACATCAAGACCATACAACACACCAGCATATTTTTCAGTCAAACCATTAAAGAAATTCTCTTTCAACTTGATGAATGTACAAGAAGTAAGCAAACTATCAGAACCAGCTTGATGACAAATGCCGACGCGCTCCACTTCTAAAAGCTCTGCAAGGTTGTTCAGTCCACCATGAAGGCTGTTGCAGAACCGAATCAGATGCTTCATATCTTAGACAATTGGGAAGTACATCTTGATCAAATCCAAGTATCCCGCTCGAGTATCCGGTAGACTCTGGCAAGTCAACAGCTTCAGCAAGTACCCAAAATCATAGGCACTATGAAAAGTCACCCAATGCACATTATCATTCAACACTATCCACGTCATAAGCTCACTAAAGCAATAAGCATCAATACCCTGCTCAATATTTTTCTCGAAATCAATGCCACTACAAGTTAACAGCTCTATAGAGTCATGTGCATAAACATCCTCATCACGATCGAACTCGCGAAAATTGAATTGCCAAATACAGTATTTACCAGTTCCACATGTGGGAAGGTTTCCCTTCTCATCGGAAAAGGTGAGGCCTAACTAAATTAGCTTAGGAAGATCCACGTTAGCCTTTAGTGTGTGAAAATGATACTCAGACGAGCTATTGAAATTGCCCAAGGAACGAAGAACTATACCCGGAAACTCAGTGTCCATAGCAATGTAAGGGAAGTCATCTACGATACAGCGAATCAAAGCAAACTCATATTCAAGATTGCCATTCCAGACCTCCCTTATATGAATTGTATTGCTAGTAGGCAAAATCACCAGCACAGAGGTATAGCGTGCCTCTGTACACGCGTACGGAGGCACCCGTGAACGCGGACGGAGGCACGCTCTTTCAACTCTATTGGTTGTTGAAAATACCTAAGATTGGGAAAAAAAAAAAAAGGGAATTAGAATCATACATCATGTTGAAAAACACACAATAGCAAATCTGCATGCTCTTTTTTGTCTAATATGATTGTCTTGGAGCTTTTCAAGTTGCAGCACTGCGGGAAACTAAGAGGACTCTGGAACGTCAAACCAAGTTGAAAGAAGCAGCACTGCTTGTAGAGCCCTAAAAAGTTTTCAATCTCATTAAAATTCAAACTCCTTCGTGACCAATTCAAATTTCCCACAACCCTAATCGAGAATTACCTACCCAATTCAAGAAAAAGACATGACACTGAAAACATCGTACACCCAACCTCAAACTGAAAAAAAATAGACAAACTTTGAGAGTTGTTTTGACACTCCTGCTTTTGAGCCAGTAAAACCCAGGCCAAGCAACCAATTTTACGATTCCAAAAGTGAAATACGGGCTTCAGCAGCCGACAAATCGGCGTCGTTATGGTTGACGATCCACTTTTACGACATCTGACATCAACAGTGGATTTCAAACTGCCTCTTTTATTTTGTTAAGGAATTATGGCATGCTTTATTAATATCAAAAATAAATAAAGTACTATTTAAGAGGAAACTTGGCCTGACCTCCAAAACAGTAAACTTAAAAATAATCATAGAATCAATAACGGAAAATAAAATTTAACGTGCTCGGGTCATGCTCTGTATTATCATGCGTCTCCTCTGATATTTGGTAAGGCTCATGATCACTACTAAAACTGGCCTTTAAAGATCTCAATGCCTTACCATGTTTAAGAATTGAATTGAATAGACCAATCATCTATCCCATTATTATACACAAAAGCATCCCAAGCATAATCTTGTCTCGTATAGAATGACACCCTTATGTCGCGAACTTGTAACTCTTATTAGTCGCTCACAATGCCTCTCTGCTTAATTTACTGCAAGAGTTGTATTAGATAACGATCCGCAAATTTTCATATTAACTTCTCCACTAACACTTCAATTGCGTTGTAAAGATATTTTGACCGGCTAAAAATTTATTGTCCAAAATACATATCCAATGAGTAAGTTGTTGTGGTTGAAATTATTAAAGATTGGCGCCAACCATCGACGTTCTCATCAAAAACATTTCCCCCAAAAAATACGTACAATTTACTACCATCTATTTTGTTTTTAAAAATAAATGCAACGGCAACAAATTGTCATCATTGAAAGTATTCAAAATCAGGTATTTCCTAAAGACTATTCTCTCTAACATTTGATTCTTCTCTCTGTGTGAAACACCTCAAACACATGACCATATGATGGTCCATTAATTCAGTATATTCTTCTAAAAGACTGAAGTTCTAAAACCAGCATTTTGAATCCATTAGCTTCAGTTGGTGATGCTTGTAATGCCAAACAATGGTCTTTCTGTAAACCCGTGCTCTGGATCCGTTAAGATTGCAATTGGTGATGCTTAGAGTACTTCAAAATGGTAATTCTTTAAACCATTGCATTGAAATATAAATTTTATTGCTTGTACATTTGTTGGACCGCGTAAATATGGCATTTCTACTTTGGCAGGAACTTCTCAAGATAACTGCATTATTTTTTACGAACTACGTTAAATGCAAAATAAGAGTTATTTCCATTGAATCCGAGGTCAACAACATAAATCTTTATTTGTCATTCCAAGATTTAAAATCCTTTAGCAAACACGTTTCCTTCCCTAGTAGACTGGGACGGAGGCTTTTCATCCAAAAGGAAGCACAACAAAGGACCAAGGCGAACAAAAAGAAAATGGCCTGTGAATAACATTTAAAGGAGCCTCGAAAAGGAAATACAGCAATGCCACAAATGGAAAATAAAATTTACAAAAAAAAAAAACCACCCCTTACAACGGGTATAAAATTCCTACCAACCACCAGCCACGAGAGAAGGAGAGCATGAACGCAAGCCAAGCCACAGACGTTCTCCCCTTTGGCGATGTTCATCATAATCTAACCACCAATAGGAAGGGATAATCCATCCTATCAGTCATGTATTAAAGGATCTCTTACCATCCGTGACACTCCGGGACATATCCCTTCGGTCAATAGCTCGAACGTCATCTTCATTATTGGAGTTGCTTGCATCAAAATTATTGGCCACATCCAGCGGTAACCGCGTGATTGAACCATCATCGTCAGATAGCCTCAATCGATGTATCCTATCTTCATATCTGGCTTCAAACCTGCATCCTCTATCATCATTCGCTATGAATGAAAATCTTCCAGGACGCATTGTGGGTCTAAAAGAATCATCCGACTTCGTTCGCCCAGAAGGACCAGCTGTATCAAACCTTTCATTCCTCCTGAACATACTGACCGGCGATCGCCTGTGCCTTAGACGGTTGTCCATAAAATTTCGATCACCAACCCATCGGCAATTGCGCTGCGGTGAGAAGCAGCCACCTCTTGGTGGGGACATGTAACGTTCCCCATAATCAGAAGCAAAACTGGGTTTTGAGTAGGGCAACCTCATTCTTTCTTTTCTAGCATCGGACCTGAAATCTGGAGATCTGCTGTGGCGTCTTGTACCAGGGTTTCTTTCCCTGTGCAAGTTCCATGGACGAGGAGAACGTGATCTAGATCTTGAACAAGATTTCTTATGGGCCAGTGATATATGAGAGCCCCTACCAGGATTTGCAGAGAAGCTATTCTCCCTCCTAGATAAATAATGTGGCAATCGAGAAGCATCATCAGGAACAAGCTCGTGGAAATCTTCCCTAACATCTCTACCACCTATACGTCGTGAATAGGTTCCAGGATTGCCCCCACTCCTATTATTGCAAGTGCCTTGGGCTAGAGGCATTCTTCTATTAATATCAAAACAATCATCCCTGTCAACTGGTGGTCTCCTAACACAGGGCTGACGCGAACCTCTCAAGGAATAATTTACAGATTGCCTCTGATCATGGGATTCAAATCCACCAAAATTGTTCGTTGAGTCAAAATTAATTGCAGTTCTTGGCCTCGTATGACCATGGCCCTCTGGCCCAAGATATCTAGAACTATAATGGTTTCTTGATCCCCAGTATGTCCACTGACTATCACATCCATCTCTTTCACGTACATGACTAGCTGGCCTGTACCTAACAGGATATTTTTCAGGGCCTGAGGCTCTTTCTGGCCGATAATATGGACCACCAATACGACGTGATCTAAAATATAGGAGAAAAGAAACATTTTTCAGTTAGAGCAATATTGAAACAAAAAAACAGAGAAATAGCCATGGGAAGGAAGAAAAAAGCCCAAAAGGGCAGTGGGTTAGTAATTTGGCAAGGTAAACAAAACAAAAAGATGACCAATCA